TAGTCTGTATATTGATATGGTTTGAAAACAAAGTCATTTTAATAATTACATAGACACTTCCAGGTTTTGGCTCAAGGCATGTTTATCAACATACGTTTTTCCCAAAAACATCATACTTTGCAAGTTTGGAAAAATTATGAGTTTATTACTTTTATTGAAATGTTTTTTACCTGAGTTTTCAAATCATGCTATTATTTTGACTTTTAAAGTGATGCTATATTTCGATTGTTGGAGGGTACTTTTCAATTCATGCTATTTTTCCTAAAAGCATGTTTATTATGACTTTTATTAGCCGAGTTTATTACTTTTGAGTTTCTTTGCAATACTGATTATTCTAAGTAACATGTTTTGGTTGAAAAGTATTTTGCAATGACATTTGCCTATTCTCAGTATAGATGGTTTTTCAATTATGAATGTGGAATATTTTAATATTCAATACAAGGCTTCAAGAAAGGCCTTTGAAAAAGTACCTCTTTTAGCTTCCTTCAAGAAGCAATCAATATTTTCGATTTCATACTAACAGATCCTCAGGAACCAGCCATGCTATGATCAAATCTTCAATAAATGCCACTTCTCTCTTTTCCAGCAAGCTACCTAAGACACACTTTATCCAAGGTTTCAAAACTTAAAATATACTACAAGGTACATATGCTTTTTTGTTTTCTCAGACATGTCAACTACACTATGACATATATTTGTAGGAAATAGTTTAAAAAGCTTCAATGCAGCCTGCTGTTAACTTCCTGGATTAATGCAAACTTACGCTGCAAATGACTTATCCTGCAGTGCAGCCTCAAAATGTCATGTAGGTAGTTGTACCTCTAAACTTTAGTGTAAAAAATAAACCATGCTCAGTAACTACGTCTAACTATAGTAATATTTTTTCAACTATTTTACTAATGATCAACTTACACACTTGAGGTATTAATTTGTAATATGCCACAACAAATTTAATTGGACTTTACTCCTCTAACAGTCTTGAAACTATAACATTCTTAATGACTTAATTTTGTATGGTTTCATGCAATTGAAAGAGTTTACTCATGCTGTTTTTGAACAGTTTGATCATGAACACTTTAACAAACTTCATGTGGATCTAAACCATTAGAATGTCCTACTAAATTCTGAATTTTGTCTGCATAAGGTTAGTCTAACATGTCTTACTAAATTCTGAATTTTTTCAATACAATATCCTATTTTTTTATAGTAATTTGGATGGTTGTGCTAGATTTGTTATATTTAGTATTGATAACACATAACCTTTGTTGTATTACCCTCATATGAATTCATAAACAAATTCCATACAAACTCTGCAATGGATCATCGATGCCTTGCTGGTATCATGAAAGATTGTTATCTTAGATAAAAAAAGTCATTCTATATTATAAAAATTAGGTTGGTGCCTTACTGGTTACTGTTTTGAAATGCAACTATCTCGGCTTCCTATGGACCTCATGCTTCCAAAATCATGGTTGTGATGTGGTCTTGAAGAATAAAACTCTGTATTCTGTGTATAGAGTTTACCAAGTATTTGGATAACATCTACCTAGGTTGAAAAAAGTATGACTGATTAAATTTAGTTCACTATAATAATTGTTAAAACCAACCATCTGTGAATAAATTTTATTATTTATTCAAGCTTTGTCATACAACCAACTTAGAGGTTATACTGAAAATGGGGAAGAACCCTTTCTGATTACAACAATGGCAGCACTTTAAGGGTCTGCTTACCTCCTAATGTCATAAGGCCATTTTCAGTTTGATCATGAACACTAGTGCTGGTTTCATGCAATTGAAAGAGTTCGCTAATGTTGTTTTTGAACAGTTTGGTCATGACCACTTTAACAAACTTCATCTGGGTCTAAATCAGTTCACTTATTCTAAGGTTTTGTCTGCATAATGTTAGTCTAACATGTCTTACTAAATTATGCATTTTTTCATTACAATGTCCTATTTATTTATAGTTATTTGGATGGTTTTGTTAGATTTGTTATATTTTGTACCTCTTAATGCCATAACGCCATTTTCCTCTCAAACTACAACATAAGATTCCCTTTATAAACCACCTATCTTTTTGTAGTCAAAATATCTTATTTGGCCTCACTAACTCTCAACAGGTTACCGACTACCCATTAACTCACTATCCAACTACTTAACCAATTATTAGAAACTTAACAAACAACATGAGACCTATAAGAATAAAAGTTGCAATTGAAGATTTTGTATAGCATAATTGTTCATATATGAAGTAGGATAATCTACCTGTTGTTCATGATACTCAACTTTAACAGCTTCATTCCAGCTAGGTATCACAAGGATCTGTTAATGAGTATGTAGTGCCTGATGCCTTAAAGTAGTTTTCATACACATAAATACCTTATATTTATAGCATCCTACTTAATTGTAAGGTTTATTAATGTACATTACCTACTTTCAACAATAAATTTGAATATGCTGAGATTTATTTGTGTATTGATGGTGTCATTGTTGTTGGTTTGTCATTAATGCAGCTGACACTGTCATACTCTATCTTTTAGAACAGTTGATACATTTCATATGATTAAGCATGTATGTAGAATTATAAGCCATTTTGCATAATCTAGCCAGACTGCATAATGATGCATCATATTATTTTGTCCCATACAAATTGTTCAAGTTGTCACCTACCTTTGTCATGTGTTACTTCATTTGTCTACTATACATCCTTACAAGTTTAATACATTGATGCTGTCTGTGATATTTTAAGTTACTTAATTCTTGAGTTTTATATTTATAGGTTAAAACAATCTTCAAATACATTGTAATTCCAAGTATGGACAACACAAACAATTCCGTTTCAGCCAAAAAAGCAAGATCTCATAGATCTATGATTATAAAACAATCACGTTCAAAGCGCCAAAGAAACACTACTCTACAACACTTTACACTCAATGCTAAACTTCCTACACCAAATAATATGACGACAAGAAATCCATTGTCCGAGCTAACCCCGTCACATCAAAACCAAAAAATGGTTGAACAAATTGTTGAAGACGAAATGTTACTTAGTGCCCGATTTCAATGTTCAGAACCCAACCAAACTAGGCATGGATTTAGAACAGCAAGGCATGTCTACAAAAACACTCATAGCTTGGGAAAAAATATCTTTTCTAAGTTTTCCGACGCAATTAACCTTGAACCAGATGAAAATACATAACCTGCTGCAACATAATCACTAACACACATTTTACCGCAACAACACAAACCTGTACAACATGAAGCAAGTTCTTCTCTTAAACGAGTGTAATTCTCTTATCATACCTACTTTGTTGTTTTTTTGGAATCTTTAGTGCATTGGTATTCATGGTTTGTGACAATGTTCTTTAAAATTGTTAAATTTCTTATCGTACAATTTATACAGCTACATACTTTGTTCTCTAATTGTTCCATTCAGACTTACAAAACGGTACAAACCCACCTCTTCTACGCCTTCGAGTAACCAAATGTTAGTTTGCTTTCTATGTACAAATTATTCTTATTGATGATGCTTTCTTTAGACTCATGCTTAACCTACATAAAATTGTTATGACAGGGCTAGAGCAAGTGCAAAACCTGCTTGGGGGAGGCCTTGAAAAACCGTGATCGTTCCAAATTTCAACATGAATTTACCATCCATTGCCCCATCAAACATACATGGTTTAAGGGATAATTCTACTATTTCCATGACAGAAGACATGAAAAACCAACCAATGTATGTTTCTTACTACCATGTATAAAAGAATTCTAAACTATCACAGACTTATTGATACCTTTTTGCGATTCAGCGAGTTACCGGTAGCTACAGTTGTCCTTGCATATCCTATCTAATGAAATATTTTTTGTGTTATAGGTTTCCAACAATTTGCAAACCACTTCGTGGCAGACCTCGAAAAGTTTTAGGACTTCCAAATCTTGCAAAGAATCTGACAAGACTTTTCCCACAACATAACCAAATTATAGGGACTTCTACACCACCTAGGTATTGTATTTTCATTTTTCATGACATGGTTGTTTCTTGGTTCATACTTATATTTATCAACATTGTTAGTGATGTCTTTTGATTCTTTTTTATCCATTCTAACTATGCATTACTTCGCAAACATGTGTTTCTTAAATATGGTAGGTTTCAAAATTCTTAATAAGCATGGTTATTTCAAAGAAAAATTATCTGTTTTATTAGAATTTTAAATATTTTTAATCATCATTTGGTATTTCAATTATCATTTAGAATTTACTTGAATATGAATAACATATTAGTTGTTTAATCATAACATTGCTTCCACTGTTATGTAGGAATGATTCGATTCCTACTGTCCAGGAAATAAATAGTAGTGTTCAAAGGGAGCAGCCTTCTTTGTCAGTGCAACATGATGTACATAATCCTATAAATGTTCCAATCATTGATGTCCAAACATTGTGTCCAATTTTTACACAAACCTCCAACCTAGATTTTAATACTGACGATGACGATGATTCCGACTTTGATCCTTTTGCAAGTTAGTAGACTGATTTATGCATTATTATGTTAACCAAAATGGTATTTTCCAGAATTTTAACAGCACGTCATTATACTTTGTAGCAAATCATTATGAAGATGATACGTGTTCAGAATTCGACGATCAAGATGTAGCTTTTGTTATTCGTGAACATCAAAAAGGAACAACATAAGGTTTGGAATTTTTACATTACATTTCTCAACTTTAACTGTCTTATACTATTATAACCCTATGCTGGTTTATGTAGAATATTACGATATCGGGGACCCTTTAATTGAATGTCGTTATTGTCAAGCAATGATGTGGTATCAAGAGAGGATGAACAAAATTTATCATTCAGCTAATCCCAAATTTATGCTATGCTGTGGGAATGGAAAGGTTGAACTTCTGTTACTAAAACAACCTCCTGATATACTCTCACGTCTCCTGTTTGATCAACAACATTTAGCTAGCCGGAAGTTTCAACAACAAATTTAAATTTACAATATGATGCTTGCTTTCACATCACCCGGCGCAAAGTTGGATAATCATTTTAACAATGGTGGTGGACCACCAACACTTCGAATTCAAGGTCAATCGTGTCATCGAATTGGAAGTTTGTTACCACCGAAAGGTCAACCTTCTAAATTTTCCCAACTTTATATTTATGACACTAAAAACGAGGTCCATAATAGAATACAAGGTCTAAGGTATGTTTAAACTACCTCATTTGTTTTACCGTTATGTTACCACATTCATGCAGGATATCCCTTCACATCACGTTTCTTAAATTTCAATATTAAATCCATATATACAATGTTAAAACATTACGTTTTCTATTCTTTTTTAGGGACACCAAAAACATTAATCCCTTGATTGTACATCAATTGTCTGGAATGCTTTATGAACATAACCCTCATGCAAAAAAATTTCAGATGGCTAAACAATGGTTAAGTGGCGGAAATACTCAAAACGTGAAATTGAGGTTAATTTCTGATAGAATAACAGATGGCCGAATATATAATCAACCAACTATGTCAGAAGTTGCTACATTAGTTGTTGGTGATATTGACACAATTGAAATGAGGGACATAATCATGCAAACAAAAGGAGGGCAACTATAACGGATTAATGAGCTACATGCAAGTTACATAGCTTATTAGTATCCTTTGATTTTTCCCTATGGAGAAGATGGTTATAGGCCTAACATAGCTCATAGAGACTTAGACATCTTCCAAGACAATAAGAGAAACAGACTAACCATAAAGGAATGGTTGTCATTTCAAATTCAAAGTAGATTCAATTAAGCTAAGACATTGTTATCATCACGACGACTATTCCAACAATTTTTGGTTGATGGTTACACAATGTTAGAGTCTGAAAAATTAGAATGGATCCGAAAAAATCAACCAAAACTCAGGGTGTCAAAGTACAACAGTCTTAATGATGAAGGTGATCAAAGTCAAACACCTGGATCAACCATAGGGAAAAGAGTGGTTTTTCCATCTTCCTATATTGGCGGTCATAGGTTTATGGATCATTTTACTATGATGGCATGGCTATCTGTAGTAAAATGGGATTCCTCGATTTATTCATAACTTTTACTTGCAACCCAAATTGGCCTGAGATACAAAGAGTATTGATACCTCTTCATTTGAAAGCACAAGATAGACTAGATGTTATTTCAAGGATATTCAAAATCAAGTTTGATCAATTACTTTCAAATTTAACAAAGAATGGTGTGTTAGGCAAAGTGCTTGCATGTAAGTTATATTTCTCAACTTTACTTTAACTTGATTTACAATATGCTAATTCTAAGTCTTTCTTATCAATATTTTCTAGATATGTACACCATTGAGTTTCAAAAGAGAGGGTTGCCACATGCACATATTTTGATATTTTTGTATCCTTCTAACAAGTATCCAACTCCTGAAGATATTGACAAAATCATTAGTGCTGAAGTGCCTGATCCTTTGAAAGACCCAAAGTTGTACAATTTAGTTAAAACTCACATGGTTCATGGTCCTTGTGGTTTGGTAAATCAGAATTCACCTTGCATGAAAGACATGAAATGCTCTAATTTTTACCCAAAAAAATTCCAATCTTCAACAATTGTGGATCAAGATGGCTATCCAGTGTATAGAAGAAGAGACAATGGACACACAATTGAGAAAAATGGAACCATCCTTAACAATGGTCATGTGATTCCTCACAATCCAAGTTTATTGTTAAAGTATGAAGCCCATATCAATATGGAATGGTGCAATCAAAGTACTTCTATCAAATACCTGTTCAAATACATAAATAAAGGTTAAGATCGAATTTCTGCTGTTATTCAACCTTCTGACAACACTACTTGTGCTAACAAAAATAACATTGATGAAATCAAGCAATATCTAGATTGTCGATACATGTACCCAAGTGAGGCATGTTGGAGGATATTTGCATATTCTATTCACGGTAGGAAGCCGGCTGTTGAGAGATTGTATTTTCACAGGGAAGGAGAAAATTTTGTATACTACAAAGACTTCGAGAAAATTGGGAATGTTTTACTCAAACCAAGTGTAACCGAATCAATGTTTACAGCATGGTTTGAGGCAAAAAAAATTTTTGAAGATGCACAATTGTTAACATATGGTGATTTTGTCTCTAAGTTTGTTTACCATAAACCAAGTAGGAGTTGGAAACCTAGGAAAAGAGGGTATACCATTGGTCGTCTTATTTGGGTTCCTCAAAGCACAGGTGAATTATTTTATCTACGGATGATGTTGACTTTCAAAAGGGGCCATTAAGTTACAAAGATATCAAATTTGTTGGAGATTATACCATTGCTCAATCTCTCATACCAAGCTCTGGGAGCTTGTTTTAAACCATATAGAGATTTCTTTAATTTGAAAACATGATCTGGAAATTTTTCATTTTCAAAACCAGGAGGTTGGTGGACATAAACTTCTTCTTCTATAATACCATTAAGAAAGGCACTTTTAACATCCATCTGATACAGAGTGATGTTATTTTGTGCAGCAAATGAAATAAGAAGACGTATAGATTCTAACCTTGCCACTGGAGCATATGTCTCAGTGTAATCAATACCTTCTTGCTGACTGTACCCTTGAGCAACCAGCCTTGCCTTATTCCTTTCAACTTATCCTTTCTCATTTAGCTTATTTCTGAAGACCCATTTTGTACCAATTATATTGAATCCTTGAGGTCTTTGAACTAGATCCCATACATCATTTCTGGTGAACTGATTTAGCTCTTCTTGCATGGCAATAACCCAATCATTGTCTTGCAGAGCTTCATCTACAGAAGATGGTTCAATTTCTGACACTAGTCCAAATAGTGATGCTTCAGATGATCTTAGAAAGGATCTTGTTCTTATGGGATCATCTTTCTTTCCAATAATAACATCCTCTGGATGAGAAGCTTTAATTCTGGATGATGATCCTATAATAGTTGATTCTTCATAAATATTTAGATTATTCATCTGAGAAGTTAAAGGAATAGCATCTGGCGTTGCTTCTGGTTCCTTCACTTGAATTTTGTCTACTTCTGGAACTTCAGAGTCAATGAAGACTACTTCCCTATCTGCAGAGTTATCAGACTGCTTTGGCTTTTCAGAGCCAAGCTTATCATCAAATCTGACATGAATGGATTCTTCCACAATCTGTGTCTCAGTGTTGTATACTCTGTAGCCTTTAGAGCGTTCAGAATATCCAAGCATGAAACACTTTTGTGCTTTGGAATCAAACTTGCTCAGATTTTCCTTAGTGTTTAACATATAGCAAATACATCCAAAAGGATGAAAATATGAAATGTTGGGCTTTTTGTTCTTCCACAGTTCATAAGGAGTCTTCTTCAGAAGAGGTCTTACAGACACTCTGTTCTGAATGTAACAGGCTGTGTCGATTGCTTCTGCCCAAAAGTGTTTTTCCAGATTTGTCTCATTGATCATGGTTCTGGCCATTTCTTGCAGAGTTCTATTTTTCCTCTCTACAACCCCATTTTGTTGTGGAGTTCTAGGACAGGAAAAATCATGAGCAATGCCATTTTCAGAAAAATATTTTTCAAAATATTTATTTTCAAATTCACCACCATGATCACTTCTGACTTTTATAATTTTGAAAACCTTTTCATTCTGGACTTGCTTGCAGAAGTCAAAGAACACAGAATGTGACTCATCCTTGTGTTTTAAGAACTTTACCCATATCCATCTACTATAGTCATCAACAATGACTAATCCATACTTCTTGCCTCTGATGGATGCAGTTTTCACTGGTCCAAACAGATCAATATGAAGTAGTTCTAGTGGTTTGGAAGTAGAAACAACATTTTTTGATTTAAAAGATGTTTTTGAAAACTTCCCTTTTTGGCATGCTTCACAAAGAGCATCTGAAGTGAACTTCAGATTAGGGAGTCCTCTGACAAGATTAAGTTTATTAATCTGAAATATACGTCTCATATTAATATGGCCCAATCTTCTGTGCCAGGCCCATTGCTCTTCATTAACAGACAAGAGGCATTAAACATTTTGAACTTTAAGTTCTGAAAGATTTATTTTATAAATGTTATTTTTCCTCTTACCACTAAATAGGATAGAGCCATCCTTTTGATTAATAGCTTTATAACATTTTTGATTAAAGGTGATATCATAACCATTGTCACTTAATTGACTTATGGATAATAAGTTATGCTTTAACCCTTCAACAAGTAAAACATTAGTAATAGAGGGAAGTTTACCATTTCCAATAGTGCCAGATCCAATGATCTTGCCCTTCTGGTTCCCTCCAAACTTCACATCACCTCCAGATCTAAGTTCCAGGCTTTGGAACATAGACTTTTCTTCTGTCATGTGTCGTGAGCATCCAGAGTCCAGGTACCATGATTGGCGTCCTGACCTTGCTGCTAAGAACATCTGCAACAGGAATTATTATTTTTTAGGTACCCAGATCTTCTTGGGTCCTTTGGGGTTAGTTGGTTTGTAGGTTTGTCTAAACTTCTGTTTTTCAACATAATGTTTATTCTGACTTGCCTTGGGTTTAAACACATAAGTGTTCTTCTCAGAGCTTGTGTGTTTAATGTCATTTAAGTGACCAAATTTAAATTGAGAATACAGAGGTGTCTTCTTGATGAAAAGTTTGTCAACAGATTTTAGGTTACTTCCAGATGAAGATTCATATCCAATACCTCTTCTGTTGTTCCCACTAACACCATAGATCATAGAAGCCATCTTGCTTCTGTCTATGCTCTTAGTAAGGAATCTCTGAAAGCTAGAGTCATATTTTTCTAAAATGTTTTCACATGACTTAGTCTCAGATTCAGATTCTTGTTGAGTTATTTCAAAGTCATTTTTGATTTTCAGATTAATTTCTTTTTGCTCAACAAGTTCTGTCTTCAGAAGATCAATCTCAGATTCAAGATTGCTTTTCAGCTTCTTGTATTTGAGTTTGATATTGTTATAACTATTAAGAACATTTGTTAAAACTTTTATAAGTTCTTCTTTGGTAAGTTTAGCCATTACCTCTTCAGCGTCATCATCAGATTCAGAATCTGATTCATATGCTGAGGTTCCTTCCTCTTGATCTTCTGTGCTGGCCATCAGTGCAACATTTGCACATTCTTCTTCTGATTCAGAAGATGATTCAGATTCATCTGAGTCATCCCATGTTGCCATCAGAACCTTCTTCTTTTTGTTAAACTTCTTCTTGGGTTTTTCTTTTTGAAGTTTGGGGCAATCATTCTTGTAATGCCCAGGTTCTTTGCACTCATAGCATACAACTTCTTTCTTGCCAGATCTTCTGTACCCAGAAGATTCCTTTCTATGATCAGATCTTCTGAAGTTGTTGAACTTCTTTCCCTTGTGCTTCCAGAGTCTGTTGATCCTTCTGGACAGCATGGATAATTCATCTTCTTCTTCAGAAGAAGATTCTTCAGAGCTTTCTTCAATAACCTGTAAAGCTTTAGCAGATTTGTTAGATTTTAAGGCAACAGATTTACCTTTTTCTTTCTTCTGAGGTTCATCTTCCTCAAGCTCAATTTCATGGCTCCTCAGTGAGCTGATGAGTTCTTCTAAAGAGATCTTGTTCAGATCTTTAGCCATCTTCAAGGCAGTCACCATTGGTCT